ACTGAATAATAAAGACTACATATTACGACTACTAAGATTTCATAGCAATAACTACTACAAATACCATTACTACTACTACTATTATTACTACTACTACTACTGCTGCTGCTGCTGCCACTACTACTACTACTACTACTTCTACTTCTACTACTACTACTACTACTACTGCTGCTACTACTACTACTACTACTACTACTACAACTACTACGACTACTACAACTACTACAACTACTACAACTACTACTACTACTGCTACTACTGCTACTACTACTACTACTACTACTCCTACTACTACTACTACTACTACTACTGCTACAGCCCTCACCCCAATGCCTCCTGGCTGGCCGGCTGCTCAGCTTCATGCGGCGCCACCTTTTTGAATCATACTGGTTTTCGGGTGTGGGGTCTTGCGAATATTATCTTGGCATACATGTTGGGAGGCTCTTCAAATTGTCATGAGTACAGGGCTTATTCTCATTCCCCCCGCTGCCATCAGCTACCACTAAGTCGACGAGCGCCTGTGCTGCTACCGCTACATAGTACTTTCTGATCCCAATCAATCAACAAGAAGAGGCGGCTACGACCATGACTTCAACTGGTGAAACTGCGGCTGCCTGCAGTAGAATCTGCTCTTGCTACTGAAATGCTGCTGCCACCGCCGTTCGTACCAGATACCTCGAAGCCGGAAGCCCAAACCTCAAACCCTGCTCAGTGTGTCGGTCTTCCAGCACATGGTGTTAGTGTGAATACAACCGGGGCAGTCTGAAGCCGTATGACAGGATTTTGCAGTAGACACAGAATGTTGTCAATGAAGGAGCGACGGGGATGTTGGAAAGCATGTTTTCTGATGGATTCTGAAGCATATCTGTGTCTCACGCGAAAGCTCATTAACTTTACATCCAAGCCTCTTGCGATGGCGACGTTTGGCTCGATGTCCGCTCCTCCAAGAAATTCAAGGGCGGATTGACCTATCCTTTATGGATAAAGTATACACTGAAGTACGAGTGGTAGACTTATGTCGCGGCAGCGTTCAAGAAGTCGCGGCACTGCATGGTGAGGCTGCATAAAGTGGAGTCGCGGCAGGGGCCCAGAAGTCATTGCACACAATGTGTTTATGTAGGGAACCCCCAAGTACACACTGTGTTGCTTCGGGCGAAGCCTCAAAACAGAAATCAGGCCCACACACTGGCAAACTGCGACCTTGTCGTAGATCATAACATGCGAGAGGAAGGGCAGGAGCACGGAGGGCTTCAAGAAGGGTTTTCAACATTCCAGTCGACACGTCGGTCGAATCATAACACATCAGAACCAGCTAATCCCAATGTAGATGCTCGATTTCACAGGCACACAAGTCAGGTGGCTAGAGGGCCAAAACCTGGGTTGTTTAATGGGTGCGCGAGGCCCGTGCGAGGCAGTGGTCAGAAACCACATCTAAGAGCCTTAGCCTATCTCGCAAATCATATCACCCGGTGAATACTCAGTCAAGTCGAGTATAGTTGGGTTTTGCACGTCGGCTCCCGAGCATTGCCTCGGAAACCCCATGTGATGGCCGGTTCGAGACGACTTCCAGCCAATTGCCGAATAAGGGCTTGCACGGTATCCCCAAGTACACGCCCGTGCGAGGACCCTGCAACGGTTGATGTTTGGATGTTTTCCAGGCCGGGCCCGGATTGCTTAAGCCCAATGTCAACACAGAAAGATGTGTATTTTCTTAACAAGATTGATGCTAGTTAAGCCCTCCCCTCGTAGTAGCCGTAATGGCCGCAGTAACGGTTCCCCCATGTCCACGCTCACACGGAACGACTTCCGCAAGACGCTACGACTTAGGGTCAACCCAAAGGCCACCCAGCGCAGCTCCCGAAGATTCGCGTGCGATGTGTTCGAGTAACTTAACTATACTAGCACCACATTCAAATAGCTCGGTAAGTCAATTTTCCATTTTTGGGCTTCGACATCGTTGAAGGAAGTGCCATCAGACGATACAGCTCTGAATATGCTGATCCGACTGGACAAGCGTAGGCGAATGTCATACCCACAAGCACAGAACTTAAGTGAACTTAATGTGGCCATGAGCTCCAGCGCCCCTTCTGAAAACCGAGAGCCACTCACTTACATGACCTTGAAAAAGCCATTTGGTGCATTCAGGGCGTTGACCCCTGCAGCATCCCAACAAGCGCAAAAGTCCTAAACACAGCACCCAAACTCCAGCGTGAAGCCCAACCTCTGCACTCCCTGAATTTATTTTTCCGGTCTACCGATGGAGGCTGCGGAAGAGCTCCGGCGAACGGACACCTAGAGTCCTAGAGGCGGAATCACAGATTATGGGCGGATTATTAGGGTCGACAGTTCTTGCTTTCTATATTGTCCTCCTGTCCTCGTCGCGGCATCCGTTACAAACATGATCAGTGACAAAGTAAAGAAGCCAGAAAATTATGACGCGACAAGGAGAACAGCACCAACACAATATGCCATGCGATCGGAAACATGCTTGGTAATGATCAGCCGCAGAAGGGATGAAATGCTCAGTTCAAGGCGTAACTTTTTTTGATAAACCCTGCACCCCTTTTGCAGCGGGCTTGCCATCGCCCGGGAGCTCACCCCTTTGCCCCTTAACCTCCAAACTCGCCGCGCAAAGAACCTAAAGTTCTAAACACCGAGAGCCCTAAACCCCATGCCCCAAGCTCCTAACCGTTCTAACTAACCCCTAGCCTGAGCCTCAACGCGGCCTAAGGTTTCTTTGTTTCGGGATTTGGGTGGGTCCTCGGCGACTTTCACATCGGCATCTTGGGGAGGCACGTCTGTCAGATCGAGGGTCGCCTGGAGTTCAGGACGTTGGGGGCGAGGGCTTTTAGAAGGGCTTAGGAGTTTGGGGAGTTTGGGGGTTTCTGCGCTCACAACTGGGCACGTGGTAACACTCGAGCAACCGTCACAGCGATGCTTATATCATATTCGTACATGTGGGTGTAGATAAATGCATATGTACCAACTAAAATGAGTGTGAGCTTCTGCACATATACACTCGTATTCGCATATACCAAAAAACTGTGTATCTATCTTCTCTCCGTCTTTTTGTTTGCGCGGCATCTGCATGCATAGATTTGCCTCGCCATGTCTGGAGGGCTCAATGCCGTTCGTCCCCACCTCCGCTCAGGGTCGGGCCGCTTTGGTTGGCCCAGAGTTTGTATCTTGGAGGCCCAAGTGATAAGCTTTGCTTTCAGAGTGCAATGGCGTGGCGCTAGCTGAGGCCTCCGGCAGGGATTAGTTCGACGGGTCTAGCAGCTTCAGGTGTGATGCCTTTTACTCTCGAGGTCTTTGGATCTGTACGACAGCAGCCATATAAGGTCTAATTGGGGCACAAGGGTTCTCTGTGGTTCCTCGATTCGCTTTACTCCCGGAACTGGGGGCCGAATTTCTGGTAGCCAACTGTCCCTAGCCGTCACCCACAAACTGCAGGCCCGGCTGTCAATCTTAAACACTGCAACATCAAGCCGCTGAACCTTGCACCTTGAACTCCTAGATCAACTAACCTCGGGGTCGCGAGATTGCAGTGCGCCCTCCGGCTTCAAAGCTTCTTTGGCATCCTGCGCGGGTGTGGAGGCTTGTCGGCTTTGGCAGCTAGGCCTTCTGGTCTGTTGTTGGGGCGGGAGTTGCACATGTATTATCTAGAATCTGCTCTGGCTGGTGTTGGGAAGGGTCTGCCATGTTTTGAGTAGCAAACTGATGCTGCTCCTGCTGCTGCCACTACATGCCAGCGGCTGACTGCAAAGGAATAAGGAAACAAACACTGCAACTACGACGACGACGACCACATCTACTACGGCTACTTCTGCTACTTCTGCTGAAGCTGCTACTGCTGCTAGCTCCTGCTCCTGCTCCTGCTCCTGCTCCTGCTCCTGTTCGTGCTCGTGCTCGTGCTCGTGCTCGTGCTCGTGCTCGTGCTCCTGCTCCTGCTCCTGCTCCTGCTCCTGCTCCTGCTCCTGAACCTGCTCCTGCTCCTGCTCCTGCTCCTGCTCCTGCTGCTGCTCGTGCTCGTGCTCGTGCTCGTGCTCGTGCACGTGCTCGTGCTCGTGCTCGTGCTCGTAAGTGTTCGTGCTCGTGCTCGTGCTTGTGCTCGTGCTCGTGCTCGTGCTGCTGCTCGTGCGGTGCTGGTGCTGGTGCTGGTGCTGGTGCTGGTGCTGGTGTTGCTCGTGCTGGTGCTGGTGCTGGTGCTGGTGCTGGTGTTGCTCGTGCTGGTGCTGGTGCTCGTGCTGCTGCTGCTGCTGCTCGTACTGCTGCTGCTGGCGCTGCTGCTGCTCGCGCTGCTGCTGCTGCTCGTGATGCTGCTGCTCGTGCTGCTGCTGCTCCTCCTGCTGCTGCTGCTCCTGCTGCTGCTGCTCCTCCTGCTGCTCCTGCTCCTGCTGCTCCTGCTCCTCCTGCTGCTCCTGCTGCTCCTGCTNNTCCTCCTCCTCCTCCTGCTACTACGACTGCTACCACCACCAACTCCCTCTCCTACACCTACTCTACTCCTGCAGCTGCAGCTCAACTGTGCAAAAACACCATCATCATGAAAAAACTCGCCGTGCTAGCACCAGTCTCATTATGATGTTTGTCTCTCAGGACGGGTCAGCTTGCCTGGGCTAGAAGTGCTCTCTCTCTCTCTCTCTCTCTCCCTCCCACCCTAACATGACAGCCTCACGGGTTTCGCTTAGCCAAGGGCGCGACGGAGAAGGGTATCACATTGTTTTAACTCTCGGCCACGTTTTGTGGACCTCTCCCACCTGTCTAACCCTGACCCCGTTTGTTTGACCCAGAACCCACTTTTTCAGCCCCTGGAACTCGTTTGCAAGGGCGGAGGGTTTGTTTATTCCTAGCAGTGGCGGTCCCTCGTATCCTTTGCCAACGTTGGCTCTCGTTTTTCGTTGCACATACTGTAAACTGCAGCATTTGCTCCTGTTCCAAGGTCTCAAAAACTGTTGATTAACGTGTACTACAGCATTTCTGGCCGTTCACATGCTCGAAATGTCGTCCATCCCTGCGTTTCTTCTATTCAGAAGCTGCCCATGCTGAGGCTATTTCCAACAATTCCGATGTTTCCGAAGCTTGTGCCGGTGTGAACATGCTGCCAGCTACATCATTTCTGGCTGTTCACGTGCTCGAGATGTTGTCCATTCTTACGTTTTCGCCTTTTCACTTGCTCATATAATATGTTTCCACCTGTTCACGTGCTTGCCCTCTCATGACCACAGTCCCTTCACTCTCAAGCCCGTATGTAAGTAGTAGCAGTAGTAGTAGCAGTAGCAGTAGTAGCAGCAGTAGTAGTAGGAGTAGTAGGAGTAGGAGTAGCAGCAGCAGCAGTAGTAGTGGTAATAATAGTAGTAGTAGTAGTAGTCGTCGTCGTCGTGGTGGTGGTGGTGGTAGGAGGAATACGAGTAGGAGTAGTAGTAGTAGTAGTAGTAGTAGTAGTAGTCGTAGTAGTAGTAGTAGCAGCAGCAATAGTAGTAGCAGCAGTAGTAGCAGTAGCAGTAGCAGTAGCAGTAGTAATAGTAATGATAGTAGTAGTAGTAGTAGTAGTAGTAGTAGTAGTAGGTAGCAGTAGTAGTAATCATCAGAAAGTCGTAGTGGTAGCGGCAGCGGCAGCGGTAGCGGTATGGTAGTGGTACTGGTCGTGGGCGTGGTCGTGGTCGTGGTAGTGCTAGTGGTGGTAGTAGTGGTAGTCGTCGTAGCAGTATAAGTAGGAGTAGGAGCAGGAGTAGGGTTGGGTTAGAAGTAGCAGTCGCAGTTGCAATATTGAGATCCGTGATGGACAGCACTTCGGACTTCGGCCGTGGCCCGGCTTGGCTTAGGAGTAGTAGCCTTTGCACGTGTTATCGCATGCAGTTCATACTCCCTCCGAGCCCTAGAAACCCGTTGCCCTTCTTCCTGAGGACTGCTTGGAGGTTCGCAACCCGTGGCTGTGCTATGCGACTCGCCGAAAACTTATATACCCTCCCAAAGACACCACTGTGCATCAGACAACCTTTTATCGGGTCTGCAACCTTAAAACCCCTGCCCATGGTATGCACAGCTCTAGTCACCCTTCACGCCGCTCTACTTTCTCCCAAACCATCCGAGGCGCTATGCGAGACCTTTAACCTTCCATACTCTTCCAAGCTTCAGTTATCCGGGGGGTGGGTTCATAACATCTCGAACAACAGACGAAGCTTCTCTAGGGCTAAAGTCTCCTACGCCTGATGAATACATCACACTCATAGCAAGACCAGACAGTGCGCCGCTGCGTGGAATGAGAGGTGTCCAGGGTCTCTACCAAACGCCGCATAGCGAAGCGCAATGCTGTTGGAAACACCTGTATATTTGGGGCTCTCGCAACGGCTGATTATCAAAATCCAGTGTTGCGTGCTCCAAGTCCATTTTGAAGCTGACCCAAATAAGTCCCTTCAAGTTTGCATGACAATTATGTCGCATGTTCTTCTTCGACCTTCATGCCCGAATGAGAGGAGGTCGGGATCCGGGTTGCTTAGGTTATGAACGAAGGGAGTACGTAAGATGGGCGGTATTGGCCACATTCATAGCTCCTACTGACCGACCAAGCAGGTGTGGATTACCTTGGTGGCTTCCGTCTTGATCTTCCCCTTCTGGAGCCTCGCGCCTTGCTAGAATGTCTTTGGTCTGGAGCCGGGGTGGAGGTTGGACCTGGGCTCTTGTCTTACATCGGAAACTCGCTTTGGCAATCCTACAATAACATGCTGTAGCTGGTCAGCCTGTATGGGAACAGCCCATGGAAGTTGCACTGCCTGCCTGCTCCAGACCGCAGAATGATTTTGCGCTGCTGCAAGATCGGAGCAGGCACTGTAGGCTGGAGCTGCATTCGCAGGCCTTGCAGGGTGGAGCTTCATCTGGCATCCCGCCAGTCTTACTACAGATCCTCCTCTCCTCCTCGAGGGAAAAGCACTGCTTGGAAGTAAAATCGAGGAGTCGAACGAGCGCAGGTCGAAGTCATACCATCCTCTTCCCTGGAAAAATCTTTTTTGCAGGGTGGTTTTGTCTGGGGTTGCGAGCTGGGATTGGCCGTCAACGTGGGAAAATGCAAGAAGGGTTCAGTGAAGTTCAGTATCATCCCTGCAGATCTGGCCCTCATCGTTTTTGTCCAGTCGATCACCCCCAAACCTCTGCGAACAGCTGCTTCTGCGTTGCTGAGGTCATGGCCTTATGGTGCAAGTTCCAGCTGGACAGGCCTCCTCCGAAGCACCAATACCTCAATGACTCTTTAGGGCCCTTGACGATTTAGGTTTAGTTTAGGGTCTGTAGAGTTTGTACCTCTCATGATGAGGCGCCAGCTGTGAAGTGAGAGTTCTGGCTTCAAGAAGGGGCTTTAAAGTTTTGGCCAGATCTTGGAGCTTAGGGTTGTGGTAGAGAATGTAGGATGTGGGCGTCCTGTGGCTTTGGGGCCGAGGCAATTTCTCAAAGCTTTAAGGCCTGCCTTACCGACATTGATGCAGGCTTCCACAACCAAGTAGCGAGCATGTACAAATCGCACAAATTATGCGGATGCCAGAAGATGAGTATTACCAAAACCAGGCACGACACCTGAGAATTACTGGTAAACCAGGACCAGGAACAACAGGAAAACAAACAAGAAAGCTCAGCATGAGCAACATCCGGCAGTTGAAACTGTTTAACTTACTGTACCCTGGAAGTAGCCGATCTGAGCACGGGTGATTCAGGTACATTGGTACATGAACCAGAGGACGACACATGCACCGTGAGTGATGGCACGATAGCACTGTTGCTGTCGCGCTTCCATGGCAAGGAATAGCTCCCGAATGCAAGAAAACATCCCTGGACCTACAAGCACTGTCTCTCACACGTTGGCAGATGGCTCGGGAGCGTGTCCAAGAAGAACCTCGGCCTGTAGTTCTGCACGTGTCTTGAAGCTGAAGATAACGCCGGCAGACTGGCAGTCATCGTCCTCTCCGTCGTCCTCGTCGCCGTCGTCGTATAGTAGTAGTTAGTAGTAGCATTAGTAGCAGTAGTAGCAGCAGCAGCAGCAGTAGCAGTAGTAGCAGTAGTAGTGGCAATAGCTAGAAGTAGACCTAGTGGCAGTGGACGTGTATCTTCACCATGAGTCTTTCGCTTGAAGTTGTGTTTTCTTCACCGTGCCGCTTTGCCGAGATTGCCAAGGCCTGGTCAGAATGTGCTCTGTTTTATGGCACTTGTGTGAGGTGCAAAAGCGTGCGCATGAGAGTGTGTGTGTGTGTCTCTGTGTTTCTGTGTCTGTGTTGCCGTCCGTGTGCGTTTGTGTGTGTGTGTGTCTTCCCCTCCCTGTCGCACACCCCCTCCCACTCTCTCCGTTTGTCTTCTATTAGTCTATTCTCGCATAGGCAAGCAGACAGCAGACATCTCGGCTGAGGCTCAACGTGGAGCTGCGTTGGGCCGTGCGCGACTCTCGGTCTGGACAGAGCCGTTCGACACGTTGAGCAAATTGCAGCAATAGCAAATTTTGAACGAGCAAGCAAGTGCAATACGCTGGTTACTAGCCATACAAAGCCCCTATAGCTTTGTAATTATCCATAGAATACCGCTGTAACTTGTTAGTAAGCTAACC